GACGAACTAGTGTAAACCAGGAAACAGAGTGAGAACACAGGCAAAAAAAGCAAGGAGGAGGTACCGAGAACAGCCGAAAGTGAAGACTATAGACACTGAAGCAGGTTTAATAAGGCATATGAAGGAATGAGACGTATGAAGATGAACATCATAAGAGGATATTTAAAATAATCACTATACAGTAATTACTGGAGAAGCAGGGAAAGAGGGACGGACCAACGGGAGCAAAAAGAGAAGAACAGGAATAAGCAGAAGGGAAGAAGAAGAATATCCGAATTTTACAAGAAGTATGCCTCTACAAGAATTAGCCATATGAGGAATATACAATAATATATTATAACATGCCAAAGGGCTAGAAGACAAGAAACAATACACTGCCAGGAGAGGACGAGCAGACAAATGGGCAAAGGAGAATTAATCCTACAGATTCAACGGTGGGGAAAAATGGAAATATCCTTCCAAAGGAGGGTCCAGGCGGGGGCGAATACAATACGATAATAAGGATTATATATTATTAACAAACAAACAGAAAGACAAAGGAACAGAACCAGTACGGGTAAAGATGAGCTAAGAATAATACTAGCATATATACAACAAAGGAGTGAAGGGAAGAAACACGCAGGAGGTGTGGAATGAATGAGGCTAGGTATATATAACAGGAGGAGTTAACCGAAATTCAATAAAACATATATGAAATACTTATAGAGTATAAAGTTAATAAAGAAAGGCACATGCCAATAACAAGGAAGACATTGATAAGCCAGAGCAGGACAACAAAACAAGTGGCCATTATAGAGTGATATGGAAGTATCTATATATAGGAGGGGAATAGTAACTGAAGCCGATAAAATAGTTCATGAGGCTAAAAAGGGAGCAGCACACTATATAATATAGAAAGGGAACGAACTTCCACACAAACAGGAGTACCGGAATAAGCAAGACGAACCACCAACTCCTAAGAAATAGAAACAGTTAACTAAGAATAAATGGGCAGGGAGAACCAGCGAGGAATTAATAAAAGCAGTGGGGAAAATGATAGATAATGAGAGTATTAGTGAGACGAACAACTTCAATAAGGAAATGTCGAAGAGAGACGGAGAGGCGCCAGGAGAAACAACTCAGACGAGGCTAGAGCGCAGAAAAATTCCTACCAACGAGACAACTATAGCCTAAGAAGAAGTGGGTTAGCGTTAACAAAAGGGCATGTAGAACTACTACCCCCAGTAGAATTCCCCAATACAGAGGAAAGTGATTGAAGAGAGAAGATAAAAATACACAACACGAATCTAAAGTATAAAACAAAAGAACCCCCAAACAGAACAGAGGGCAAAAGTAAGAGGAGCAATAAAAGCACGAAATTATTAAAAAAGAAGAAGCTATAGCACACCGTCATATGAGCTGAAAGAGATTTGGCAGATTAATGAGTAAAGCACCCGACACCTCTGCCCCCCACGGGGACAGGTTGCAGGCGCAAACTCACACCTGAAAAACACAGACCAAGACTAAAAACAGAGGGAACCATAAGGGTAACTTAGTGGGCCACACAGCAACCCGACAGCATAACATGAGAAGAATACCTTGCCCCAGAAAATAGAGGCCCAGATCAAAATAAGAAACAAAGACAAACCAGAGGGAAAAATCTTGAGGGGCAGAACCGCCCCGTGTTTGAAACCCGTCCCCCTGCATAATATGCAAGAACTAAATGGAACAGATAAAATGAAGGAGGTACCAGTCGTTTGACTTATAAGTGGACTAATAAGAGAGTCAAACAGGAAAAACAGCTCTATACTCCTAGAAAACGTCACATGACGAAACATACACCCCAGAGGCGCACAGAACTGGTAGGATACCACAGGAGGAAAGTAAAACCGGGCGAGTGAGACAGGATGTCCATGAGAAACCACCTCCCGAAAACAAAGGGGACAAACAATACAGAACGAGAGAAAGCTAAGAAGATATAAAAACGGCAAGGACGAAACCACTAAACCCCAAGCAAGAGGCAGTAAAAATCAAGGGGTTGAAAGAGAGAAAAGAATAGGAACAGGGAAGCAACAGATTACATAAAAAGCCTGCCCTGAGAAAAGAATCTACAAACGCACCCGACGAGGGGAATATCTACGAAGCCCATGGACCTAAACGAACAAGGCACCGAAGAATACACCCCTAAGGGACAGAAAGAGAGGAATAATACTAGGGGTCATTATCGGCGCCCACAAGTGTAAATTGATGATATTTCCAAAGGAGGTCTACAAACCCAAGGCAAACCGAGGGAGCAAAAAACAGGGTAACCAGGAACAACCCATCAAGTATTCAGAGAAAAGAAAGTGCGAAAGGAAAGTCTTCCGTACCCACCGAGCAAGTAGCCAGTAGGAAAGGAGAAGAAATCTGGATACTGAAGTAGTTCAAACCCTAGGATAACAGATGAGGAAAAATCAAATTCCAAAAGAAAACAGAAACGCGAAGAGAAGAAAAAAGGAGCCAATAGAGCTAAGGAGACAAAGAAAAAACCAAGCCATGCTCAGAGGAGAGAACAGAAGGCATAATAGACGGACTGGTAGAATTTGAAGAAGAGAACAGAACAAATAACCCAGAAAGAAATCTTCGTTCGCTAGCATTCAGTTAAGAGTAGCCCACTAATCTGCATGGAAAGAGGAAGAAATATGGAGGAGATGAGAGAGCGACTGCTCCAACAAGTCAAAAATCGTAATTAGTGTAATCCCGCACCTCAACAAAAAAACACCCAAAAAAAACAGAAGATCAATAAGGGCAGATATATAGAGGAAGCAAAGGTACCCCAGGCTTATCCAAGGGGAGAAAGGAGACAGGTACCCCTCAATAACCCTGAGGAATACCAGAAAAAAAGAAAGGAACAAATGAAGAAGTAGGACGGAGACAGACGATACCCGAACATATCGAGGGAACGCTAAACCAAATAATGGGGTAAACCTAGAATAAGAGGTAAATAGAGATTTCAACAGGGGTTTACCGTCCCCCTGATTCTCTTTCTGTAAGTCCCCAATAATCTCCATTCATATCCTCCAAATTGTTCAGAAGCACCCCACCCCAGGAATTCCACCTAAAGAGTAGCAACAGGTCCGAATTTTTACCCCCAAGATAAAGGAAACCTTAGTTAAAGAAGCAGGCATCTCCATAAAAATATCAGCCGGAACCACAGAGAGTCAGTGAAACGGGCGTCTCAATGTCTAAAGTCTAAACGTAAGCACCCCACCAGAAAAACAACAGAAGACAACAGGAAGAGGAAGAATTGAAAATCCATCTCGACATCAGTACAGATTCCAGACTACATTCCAACAGACCCAAATGAAAGTTCATCTTTCCGGGTCAGGAGCAGGGACAAGTAATTAAAGGTAGGAAAATCCGGGGGAAGGCCAAGGACGACAAGAAATCCCACATGAGGATCAGGAACACCTAGAAATCCGAGGACATATAGAAGGGGAGCCGTGATTTAGAATTCGTAAGTTCCAGCCTAGGAGTAAAAAAGTAGGTATCTGTTCCCTAGTAGTAAATATAGGATGCGGAAAAGGATCAGGCGTAATAATCAAGGACAGCCAACTCCTGCACAACATCCAAAAAATGTAACCTCAATACTTCGGGGCTAGGGACCAGATGGGTCCACCTGAATAAAAAAAGGCTAAGAACCAATAAATCTGAACAAAAATGAATCAGAGGAACTCCAGCACACAAATAAACCCAGAAGACTAAGGCCCAGTGGATAAATAGTAGCCACGCTGAGAGAGAGAAAACACAACTAGGGACCAACTCCCTAGGCCAAGGTATCAGCGGATAATAAGGCGGCCGTCGCATGAGGAAAGATAAAGGAAAAACCCGAGGAACAACGTCCAAGGACCTCACAGGAGAGAGGGAACAACATAAAGTCAGAAGGATTAGTTACCACCCTAGCAACAGACCGGATGAAATTCAAAAATAAGTCAAGATATAAAGAGAAACCTGAACTCAGAAAGAGCATCATTACCAGAGAAAGCGTCCAGGACTGCGAAGGCCTAACTGGATTAAGAGAGAAATAATCTTTCTATAGTCTCAGTGACTAACAATTCTCCTAAAACTAGACGTCTCCCTGAAAGAGTCGAGGGAATAAACAGAGGAATAAGAAGAGGAGGGGGATAAAACGAATTCCCCCCCCCTCAAGACAGGGGAGAAGTCTTTCAGGATAGCTGAAGTAAAAAATTCTGAGCAGAAATTGAGAATAACAGTATGAAGAGTTTTATTTACAAAGGGACGCAACAGATCTCAAGCAATTATGTCCTTAAAGAATCCTTCAGAAGTCATAGTAGTGTAAATTCGCGGAAGCCAGGAAACCTACTGTCAATCGGAAAATTCCAGAACAGCTAGGAAGGCTAGGTAACCCATTACCGATCACACCAACTAAGTTGAAACGTTCTAATGCAGAATATGAAGCTGAGTCCGACCCCTTGCGGGCCTCTGCCCCCACAACACGATGATGTCAGAGGAGGGAGGCCTGTCTGAATAAGGATACTAACTCCAGAGTATATTAAGTCAACTAAGAACAAACGGAGATTGCGGAAAACAGACAGCCCAACCTCCCAAATAGGGGGCGAGTGAAGGTAGGGGAGGATTTTATTAGAGAAGTAGATATGATTAGAGAGAACATTATTTCTATAGTTAAAAAGTTTCTGGTAGGTAACAGATGCGACTATCTAGTTCTGCATTGTGAATCCCCCAAAACTCCTCAGCGCAAAAGCAAGAAGGATTAGGTCAATTAGAAAAGATCCAAGATATAGAGTTTGCGGAACCAAATCAAACCGCAACCCAGAAATCATACCCCAAGGAACCTCCATGGGACTCAAACTCCCATTAACCGTCTGAAGTGAAAACCTAATGTCACGTCCTGAAGATGGAGAGTTAAGACGTTAGACCCGATGATTTTTAAGAAGATGAATCCGTAAGACAACTGTTCCTGAACCCAAAACGGAGTAATTACCGTAAAACCGAAATAAGTAATGAAAAATCTCAAAAGCAAATCGGACAAAGAAGAGAAAGTCGGAATAGATAGGGAAACTACCCCAAATCTTATTAGAGAGTCAGTCAACTGGTTTGGAAATGGATAAAATCCCCACGTGGAAGGGAAACGAGCCTTCCAGAAAAAGGAGGCTATGTGCAAGGTTAAGAGCAGGAATTCAGATGAAAAAACCATCTTGGTCGTCCCGTATCCAACTAGGAGGAATTCCCAGTGCGTAGGACTTTGATATCACAGAACAAAAGAAAGGGAATCGAGGAAAGAGTTCCCCTAACAGACAAAAAAAAGTTTCTATCGAAGAATCGGGGGGAATTATCTAGTCGTTTTATCAGATTAAGAGAATCCCCAACTCTCCAACTAGCAGTTCCTAGAACAGACGAATAAATAGCATAGGGTCTCTAAGGAATAAGCAAAGAGAAGGTTAGGGAGGGTACGTAAAAGCAGATCCCAAAATACCTCTTGATATAATAAGAGAAATTCTCCTAACCAGAAGGCGTTTCCCCTCTTTGAACTTCTAGAAGTCCAAAAGAAGTAGTCTGAGCCCGATAAGTCTACCCCGAAGAGAACCCGCAAACAGATTAGAGAAGCTAAGGATTAGAGGAGTAGATACAGAAACTTGGGAGAACGAGGCGGCTAAGGAGTACGACGACCAACAGCAGGAGCCAACCAGTCTTCTGAAGTGAGAAATTTCCTCTTGACGGAGGATTAGCCGGGGCCCGAGACAGCGTCCAGTAGGGAGTGAAGTTTCTTCCGTAGAAGAGAGCAGGAGGGTGAAATCTAAATATTGACCAAGAGGTTCAGGTAGTACCTTACAGGCGAAGGGATAGGAGGAGTTGAGGATAAACTTAAGAGCGAGAGGAAAGGAAGTCTATGAAGACGACTCCATTACCCCCCCTTTAGGCGCACATCCAGGAGAAGGCAAAGAAGACACAGGAGGTTAAACAAAAGGAGGAGACGAATCCTCGTTTAGACTGGGCGATATTAGGAGGTGAGATAGAGGAAAGAGAGGGGTGCTTCCCTGATACGGAACGTTGCAGAGCCGGTGAATACCGTCTCAACAGTACAGGTTGAGATTCAGGACGATCAACTTCAAGAGTAATGAGGAGGAACAGGAAGTATCTCAGAACTTCAGCATGAGCAACATCCAACGGTGCCCTTCATGAGGTATGAAATCGCAGGAAAGATAGTTAGGGATTCGGGCTATTCAAGAAAGGGCGAGTATTCCAAGTGAAAGAATAAGAAGGGTAAGGGCATAGGATGCCAGCAGCGCAAGCAAGAAGGAGAGGAGATATGAGGAAAGAGAACCTGGATTCTCAAGGAGAAACCGGACTAGAACATGGTCGAAGAGGGGAAAAGAGGGATAAGATCAGGAGCGGGGGGGGAGGAGACATTATGACATGACAGCTCGAAGGTAAACACCGGGAGCCACGGATCTGTAAGAGGAGTGGGAGCAGGAGAGAAGGGAGGATCTCAACGTTACGCCGTAAGTAGCTCAGGACTTCATGGGGGGGGGGCAGATCATCTAAACAGCAGGAGATTGCTTCAAACCCAAGGAAACCAACTCAAACGCGGGAAGGCAGAAGACTCTTAAGGGAGTCAAGTTTCCAGAAGGGATAAGAAGGAGGCCAAGCAGGAGAAGGGGCACGTACCAGTCCAAGAAGTTACGGACAATGCAGGAGACAGCTTCATGGCTCAGGGGAGATAAGGGGAAAAAAATCCCAGATGAAGAATCAAGATTTACAAGTGAGGGGTCTGCCCTATTAGCCAACGCACTGCCAAGTTAAACAGCACAGTACCAGGTAGCAGTTACGGATCAAAACGGGCTTTCTGAGGAAGAGGTTGTATCTATGGCAAATTAACATTCTCGGCAACAGTAGATTTCAAAACGACGTTACCTCCCCGAATCCCGCAGGCTATATGGAGTGGGACTTCCCAAGATATATACAGCAGATATTGGAGGACGCTAAGGAGGAGTGTAAGGACAGGAAAACTTCGCAAATATGTTCTCGAGCTTTAGATTTGAGAGATGACAGCCTTAAGGACACCGGAGAAATAACTCCTTGTTCCGAAGCCGTCTCTTTGTTTAGTGGAAAAGAGGAGGAACTAAGGAGGATATGGAGGTACAGCAGGGCTATTTGTAGGGGTATGGAAAGATGGGGACGAAATTTGAGGAGCGTTGGGATAAGACCCCCCAAATATGAGGAGGGAAAATGTAGTCCGGGGGGGACAGGATACGGCGGGTCAAGACAAGTAAGAGGACAACAGTGTAAGTTCGAGAAGAACCTTTTAAAATGGGATCATCTTAGCCAGCAGCAGCAGTTACTTTATAAAGAGCAAAATCACAGAAGTCTAAGTGCGTGTATGGATATAGTGACACAGATCATGGGAGCCTTCGACATGACTAGTACTAAGATGAGGGAAGTTGAGGACGTACGGAAGAAGAGTCCTTGTCAGTTGCTTTATAAGAGCTTAGTAAGATGGGGCGGAGATAGGAATGCCAGCAGAATAATGGAGGAGTGGTTTATCAGCAGTGAGAAAACGGAGGAGGGTAACAGATACTTTACCCTGACAGGCAGGGACTTGTATGAGATAATAAGTGAATTTCTTTATGGAGATGACGCGGGGGATAAGGCTTTGGGCTGTGAGAAGGAAATGGGCCATAGCCGAAACGGACAAGAGGGTGAAGTCACCTATAACACAACAACACAGAGCCAAAGAACCTTGGGTAATTGCCAGCTTGACCAGGACACGTGCTGGGCCCATCTGGAAGATGTCAAAAGTAGCCTGAGCCTTGACGAAAATCCTGACCTGTCTAGTACGGAACAACCCACTTCGGGAGCCCACGAGAAGTTAGGGATGGATTCGGATAATCTGGAGAATGGCGGGAAGCAGAGGGATCTCGATAAGCCAGGGTCTCCGACCAGCTCAATGCAACAGCGGTCGCAGGGGGAGGGATATAAGACAACTCAGTCAGGGGGAAGTGGCTTAGACTCATTGGGCAGTATAATCGGGGGCGTTGTGACTATCGTATTGGGGGGTGCCGCCCTGTATGGTTATTATCGTATTTTTCCAGCAAGGAGAAGGAAAGGATTACTTAGGAAGAGGGGAGGGTCCATAATTCTGAGGATTCCTAAGGGCGAAGGGGAGCCATATTCGCAGGCGGGTCTTAGTTAGGACGCGGAAGTGGACGGTCGTATTCTTGGCCAAAAGTTAAGGGCAGATTGCTCAGCAGCTTAGGAAGCAAAGGACGGATATGAAACATAACGGGGAATCGGGGCCACAAATCCAAGGGGTCGGGAGTGATTTAATCAGAGGGCAGGATACTGGGGGGGATGCCTGATTTGGGAGAGTTTAATTATGGGTTTAAGTTTAGGGTTCCGAGGTTTAAGGTCCACGTGTTAGGGTTCCGAGTTTAGGGTTCAAGTTTTATGTTTCTCCCTCTACGATTTACGTTTTGTCCCTTACGGTTTACGTTTCGGGCTCTACGGTTTACGGTTCAGATTTAGGTTTAGGGCCTTAGGCGTCAGGGTTAGGGGTCTAGGGTCTAGGTTTCGGGATGATGGTTTACTGTTTAGGGGTTGAGGGTTCAGCCTTTACCGTGGAAGGTTCAATTTTCAGGGTCTAGGGTACATGGTCTATGGTTTAGGATTCGGGGTTTCGGTTTAGAGTTTAGGTTTTACGGTTTAGGGAGTAGGGTTTAGGCTTCTTGTTTTAGGTTTATGGTTCATGGGTTAGTTTTTACCGTTCAGTTCTCAGGTCTAGAGTTCAGTCTCTACTTTTTTATTTTTGCGGGCTCATGCCGTTCGGTCTAGCGTTCAGAGTTCATTATCTAGTTTTTTCCGTTAAAGTTGAGCTTTACGGTTCATTTTGTTGGTCTCATGTCTCATCTTTAAGGTTCAGTTCTTGCTTCCCACGACTTTGACGTATTCCTTTTTTTATTACATTATACTCTATCTATAATATTTATGGTATATATTATCATCCATTCTTTATCTCTCCTACATTTCACGTACAACGGTGAGGTTGCCTGTCCTTATTCAATAGTTTTCACCTGTAAAAAATATCTGTACCCACACATTTATTCCCTACACAGACCGAGAAATTCTCGTCATATCGTCCCTTCTAGAAAACAGAACGCTGCTGAAAATACATATTTTCTTGTATCCATCAATATCTTCTTTGTATATTTAGATACTGCTTTCACAGGATTCGGAATTATTTTTATTAACATAATAGATTCTTCGTCACGCCCATCATTCCATTTAACATATAGTTGAAATTATAACAAAACTCCATGACGCAACGGTACCTCCACTTCTAATATACCCACATATCTATAATACTGCATAAATATATCTTTGTCGCATGGTCACACACAGATTGTTTTAATGTTGACAATTCAGATTTTACCTCATCACTATTCCGTAGTTTACTCCCTCACAATAAAACCTCACCTATAGAAAAAGTATAAAGAAATAGATACAAGGACTAATTCTTTAAAACTGTGCATCAGAATATTCACAATGCTATGAAGTTACTATAATTTATTTGTAAGCTTTCAAATATATTAGAGAGAAGCATCATGTATGATACTATAGTACAAATGTCTGCAGGAATAGATTGTAGATATCTCTGCAAGAACGAGAAGAAGAAAAAAATATATAGTAATCGGATTATCCCTGCTGCTTCAAAATTGTTCCTCTTATATAATCTACTTGTGAATGCTATTTCCAGAGAATTACACTCCCCTTGGATGCCTATTTAAGAGTAATGCAAATGATGAATATAATCCTTCCCTGAAACATTCATTTACAAAGGTGGGTTAATTAGATTATCAGATTTCTCTTGATACCAGTTATGAGCAGTAAGAACAGTTACTATGTAATTATCATCATAGGTAGGGAGGAAGAAGCTGTGGAATAAAAGTACCAGCTTGGCCGGATCATTATCTCCTAGGAGGGATTATGATGGAATGCTAGAGGAACAGGAAATAAAGATTCACATAGAGATCTCTCTATTTTTCCATATAGATCTAGGGACATAATTCTAACAACTGCAAGATAAAGTTATGATAGGGAAGCATCTTAAAAAATTAATTACCTGGAATGAGAATATATAACCATTATAGTTTTATGTGGCCAAACTTATCCATTACGATTGGATTACTCGATTATTGCATAATATACGGATTCTTTCCATCATCTGTAAAAATATATTTACCTGGAAATCCGGTTCATTACCATTATATATTATGTTGTATATAGGTATTGTACGGATATCATTTGCAGCAGACCAGGAGCATCCATTTACGGAATTATCAATAGATTATTTTAAACCAATAGAGAAATGAACGAACTAATTGTTCTAAGGATACAAGTCCACATTTGTTCTATGCTTCTCCAGGGGCCTCTTTCGAAATCTGTGATATGAGTATCCTAAATTTATTTCATAGCTTGTCATTTGTGCGTATTGATGCCTTATGTATAATTCTACACACCTGACGAAGGATTTCTATGATAAGAGGAAGGGAAACTTATGAACATGCAGAACTCTTTGTCAGGGAATAAATAATGGTTTCGTATATTCTGTAAGGACTATACTCATGAATCAAACAGGCGCAAGAATCCTTTGGCATAGGTTTCTGACACTGAATTGAACATTCTCCTATACTGGTAACAAATGGAAGAGAAGAAGAATATTCAGTAAAACCCTATAAATACTGTTTCATTATGCCATTATAACACCCTAGAAGCCTTATTTATAAAAGAGGCTTCTGTATAGATAAGTATGAACTAAATGATTAATTTATACTGAACGTTGATGACATCAAAGGATACCTACTAGACGCCTATGAACATATTCTATTTCAACTCGTTAACCCAGTTATGAGTAGACGTGGCTACATCTCTTATAGTGAATGTGTGTATATCCTTTTATGTTCTCAATGTTATACACAAATCTTAGGAGACATAAGGAGAAGACTGATTCTGTCTATGAAATGTGTTTTAGAGAAGTATGAGAATCTTGATCTAAGTATAAGAGTGGCAGGGTTGATATGCATACAATACGGAATTGATCCTGAATTTCATGTCAGAGACAATCTTCCAATTAACCATAGTGCCCCAGAAATCTTTATCCACTAAAGTGTGGAATTCCCATAGCAATTCAAAGATATATTTAATTGTAACAAGTGTACTGTGTGGAAAAAATTATTCATAATGTGCTACGATGATATTTCAAGTAGACATTGTATAGGTATGCATCTGATTTAGAGAAGGCGCCGTATAACTATTAATGAGGACTCTTCTGAACGTGCATTCCCGGACTTCGTATGTATAATATCTAGGAATACGGCTCTAAATTCTTGAATGCATTAGTTTCATGGGTGTTACACTTATAATACAATGCTATTCTTTGTTTTGAATCACCCATTACGGAACATTAATAATCTGTTTTGTATATCTTTGAGGGTTAATCGAAAAATTATGTCCTAAGAATGAAAACAGAAAGAATCTTTATAGGTTCCTCTTGAGAGAAATATATGCTAGAAATGTAAAGGGATTTCACATGATTTGGGTATTTTATTTCATCTGACGCTATAAACAGTATACTCGAATATTCCTTATGTAAATTCACAGAAATCACAAAAAACAGAATGAAAAACACAGGCGATTAGAGCTCCTGAATTATAGTATAATGGTGTCCTGTCCAGAATACAGGGAGATGGTTGCGGAGATATAATGGCACGTACTTAGTTTAATTATATGGAGTTATACAATCGATTACAGCTCACTCAATGTATTGTAATTAGAATGAATTACAATATCATGTTCTCCTTTGAAGAGTGCAGAACGGAAGACGTGTAATTTGGAAAGTACCAACATCCTCACATAATTGTTCTAAAACGAAACGCTTTTAGAGGTTGTGTTAAGCCTCCGTTGAACCGGGAATGAGGGAAATATAGAGAAGTAAGATAAATGAGGATGAAGTGAATCGCTTCCTACAGTGACTCATGCATCTAAATATTAGTAAAAAATAATAGATCACATAGGAAAATTTTTAACCGCAAAACAGTATTTATAACACGAAGTAGTAATTTCTGATCATTTAGTAATTATGTACAATAACAAAATGTAAAAAAAAGGGAAGCCGACTCCTTAATTATGTTGCGAATACATGATCAGTCTCGGAATCGTATTTAGGGGCATCAACGGAAGGAGCGTTACATGTATTTTAAGTATTCGTTAAGAAAATGTATTTAACCCTTTCCCCTTTCTTGTTTGTTTTCTTAAATTATAATAAGTTGAAACTGTGTCTATACAGAGAAGGGGTGTAGAAGTTTGCAGAAGTATTAGTGAACGTGCAAGAAGCCGAGTCTTCCCGAAAAAATCGTAGGAATAGTATGAATAGCGATAAGTATATGAAGGGGTGAAATAAAGGAACTCTCCACAGCAATGTGACCTCAGTATCTTCCGTGTAATGTATTTACAAATGCTAACATAAGAGTACTGTGTGACCAAGAAAGTAACCTAAGGTCTGTTCATGGAAGATAACAATTTGTTCTTAAGCGTATCACACTGTATATACAGGAAGGTCATCTGTGATTGAAATAAGCTTTGGAAGATTTATCATGATCCCCTATGATAGATTCCAATCTAAACTGTTATTGAGGATGCGGAGTGATTAGGGAACTTCTCTATATAAGTTTCCCTGAAATTGTAATATCCCCACTTGTACATCAATAATGAAGCCTGTTGTGCATGAGATCATGGTAAGATTTCAGGTATCTGCGGATTTCTCCTAATGATTCCTGCGTGAATCGACGTTCGATTCAAATTTTCTATAGTTCCATAGACTGTGGAATACACAGTTAGCACCTTTGCATTGATTTTGTCTGCAAAAAATCTATATTTTGAAGAATTCTTCGGAAACATGGAATCTTTCTCATTTCATGTATCTAATCCATGGTAATATTTGGATGAAACTACGTAAGCATCAAAATGATTATTGTATGATACAACATTCATCTGCTTTCCGAGAAGTTTATCGAACGTTTATTCATTAATTCGTTCTGCAGAGGTTGTATAATATTTGTCCAGTGTTGTCATTACCTTTACGTTTAGAATGACGTATTTGTGTGTACAATAAGTGGAGCGAGTGAGCTCTTTGAGGAATATTGTGATAACTGTAAACAGTATGTCCTTCATATTCATGTGGGATTTGCATATATTTGCAGAAATATATGAATAAGCTTTAGAAGGCACATTTAACTCTATGAGTGAATGTATTTTTTATATGGATCCACTTTAGTTACGCTGCAGAATGGACCTACAACATATAGTACAAGGAGGATGTTGTTAATGAAACCCCTTATGACTAACTTCGTACTAGTATTCCTCAATAGAGGCGGACTAAATAGTTGCGTGATTCCTGTGAAATAGAGAATAGCTTCACCT